GGTCACCTAGAGCATATTTCCCAGGACCACGTCCAGACAGGTTTTGAATATCTCCAGCGAAGGAGACTCCACAGCCTCTCTGGGCAACCTGTTCCAATGCTCCATCACCCTCACAGGAAAGAAGTTTGTCCTCATGTTCAGATGGAACTGCCTGTGGTTCAATTTGTGCCCATTGTCTCTAGTCCTGTCGCTAGGCACCACAGAGAAGAGTCTGGCTCCATCCTCTCGACAGCCCCCCTTCAGATACTGGTACACATTGATGAAATCGCCTCTCAGTCTTCTGGAAGGGTGGCCTGCTGCGAGTGTGCATTGCTCAATAGAGAGCACTTGGGTAAGAAGTGGTGTATTTTGAGTAACTAACTCTGATTTAATGAAAAACCACTTCTGCCACAAAATAGAGAACTGCATGAGAAGGATGAGGCTCCATCTTCCATAGGAAAGTAGAAGTTACTGTGTTAGGCAGTGTTGGAAAACCTTCAAGTTGATATTAGGCTGTAACTGTCAGGATTTCAAAAAACCCTAAGTACTGCTCACCAAATACTCTTCTTCACTTTTAAAATTTGAGCTATCAGAGAGTGACTGAGGTCCTTAGAGAAGATTTTTTAAAAGTTACGGCTGACCAAAGATGACCTAGAGGCATACCCTGCAGACTGCTCCTAGGTGGACATGGCTGATTTCATAGTGGATGGGGGCAGGTACTTTGTACTTAAGACATGATGAGAGTAGCAGATACTCCAGCCCCCCAGTATTTAGTACTGTTTAAAGCTTTGCTACACCCTTAGATGCATCTCAACTGAGAAAATCTAACATTAGCTAAGCTGTTTGACCCCGTTTACAACCTGGCATAGTTTCAGTAGTGCTGATGTTTTTCAAGTGGGTGGCTGTACAATTTCCCTATATATTAGACGAGAGTGTGAAATAGACTTTCAAGAATTTATGTAATTTTCAGTAATCAAAGTAAAGCTTCAGTTGATTGATCAAATAGAGGAAGGAAAGCCCAAACATCCCAGCTCCAGGTTATGGCTGAGTAGACTTTTGCTGACATCAGAAATTATTAATTGCAGCAGCTAAATTACAAAGATGTTATCATGGCTCTGGGAGCCAAGAATGCTGTAATTACCAGGGCTGTTTTAGATTCCCCATTCTGCTGCCTTTCTTTTGACTTTAACTATAAAGACACTGAACCAAGGTAAAAGTGAACTAATTTATGTGGAGGGCTTGGGATTGTTTCAAGAGCAATGTGCGATAGAGATATATCAGTGTGTTAACAGACGCTGTCCTTTCAGGAAGCTGTAGTCTTCAACTGCACGCAGGTGCCCACAACGCTCTGCCTGTTCTGTACTGTAGCATATCAACCAAACGTGGTATTCCCTTATGGTGCGATGGGCTTCTTGGTGTGAACAGCTTTTAATATAAGGCATCATTAATAACAGGTTAAACTATTTATGCGCTTTAATTAAATTTTTTTTATCAGTATGCATTTTGTAGAATTTGCTTCTGAAAGAGCAGAGTTGCTCATAAAGCTGCTTTCACTGTGATCTTATTTACCAGGTTCAATGAATTCTACATGCATCTTACTGTTACATTAAAATAACTTCTCTAGTGTTATATGCACATATATAGATAGTTAGTTAGTTTATATAGGCTTTAAAACTATTTCAAATTTCTTAAGAGCTTATTTTTTCCCCTTCTTCTCTCACCTTTATTGTTCTTCTCTGAGCCCTCCCTCCCCTATGCTGAAGTGATTTTTCATAAGGACATAGTTGGTTTTTGCTGACACAGCATCTTGTCTTGTCAAAACAGCTTTGTTCATCAGTATCTTTTTTTGGTGTCATCAGTATGCCTACAGGAACTGCATTGCTTAACTCCTGGCAAACAAAATGCTAGATATCTATCTTTGGACCTCATAGAATGACTAATGATTTTTATTTTTAGTTTGGTAGCAGATTAGTAAACTTGAAAATACTAAGTTTGAGTTGTTCATAGTTTCCAGCAGAACATAACAGGTTTAATGAGCAGGATATATTTAAGAGGAGGCCACAACAGTCAATGTATTCAGATGCATGTTTCTACCTTTGCCCAGAGGCACATGTCCCAGTTCAGAAGGGCACTTAAATATTTCCATAATGCCTTAAGTTGCCGCACGAAAGTCAATAGGACTGACTGATACCAGTAAAACTACTTGGAATTACAATTAGAAACATTCTTTAGATATTGTTAAACTGGGGCCTGTGGCAGTTTAAGAATGGTGAATGGTTAGAAATGTAATGTTGCTGTAAATTTTGAAGATTAAGAAAAATGTTTTTCCCCCATTGGAAGACTTAGTTCACTACACCTGAAATGCATATTTGGTCGTTGAAATGAAAAGTCATTTTCTGGGAATGAGAAGTGAATTATGTCTTGTCAGCAGATAAGAGGACACTAGTAAGTTTATTCATTTTATCAGAAAAAAATTACTGTTCAAAGAACTGATGTTTGTTAAAGATGGAACTATGATCCACACAAAAGAACAGTATTGTATTTTTTTTCCCCAGTGCCATATCTCTATAGGAAGGAGATTAAGCTGTGGAATGTGGAAATCATCATCATTGCTCATTTTGCAACAGGAGGAAGATTTTTTTGTAGGTTCAGAAATAAAAAATAAACTGTTGATTGCTACAGGAAACTTGGAAAATGACTAGTATGTTTACATATATAGTTATTTTAATATCAGTTTTATAAACTTATTTATAGGCTTATAACATCTAGGAAGTGTAATTGCTTTTTGTTATAGGTCTTCAAATAAAAATAAGCATTGGTTATAGGACCTGTTTTTAAAATTTGAAATGCAGAGGTAATATAACTTTCAATATATTATAATACGAGTATTTAATTGCCTGTTCTAAAGAAAGGTACCTCAAAAAAAGAGTTTCTGTTCTTTTCCAAGTTTTCAATTTTTCCATACTGGAGGAAAAATTAGGATTTTTTTCCCTTCAGTTTCCTGGATTTCTTTGTATAGTCGGCACATCATGCAGTGAGTTATGCTGAAAAAGATACTGGAAAAAACAGTAAAAGTTGTTGTAGAATCTTTCTGGCTGGCTTTGTCGGATACAAGGAGTCTCAAATTGCACTTGGAGTTTTATTTTAACATATAACTTTATTTTGTGTTCCAGTGGTTTCTCGTAAAAAATATTCAGATAAAGAAAAAATGGTAACCTTCCTTTAAATTATAACACTGCTAATAATGTAGACTACAACTGTTCTTTCAGATCAGGAGAGCTGGAGCTTCTGCGCAAATAGTGTTTGGACAATCCTCCTGCAAACCTAGGGCCTCCCCGTAACTTGCACAGTGGTGCATGTCAATCCCAAATGGCCAGCATGTGTCTAGGTTAGTAGAAGTGCAGCACACGCAGCACTGCTTGGCCTCCCAGCAGAGCTGGCAGGGTGGCTGTGGCCGAGGTGAGCTGATGGGTCCTGGTGCCGGTCCCGCGCAGCCTCCTTCTGCCCACCGCCGGCAGTGCATGGCGGCCTCCTGCGTGGACAAGCGAAGCGCCTTGGGGGAGGACTCCCTCACCTCCGCGAGGCAAAGCCAGCTGACAGCTGAGACTGTTGTCCATCGGAGCTACCCAGCCGCTCTCATCTGCAACAATAAGGGGAGAGAGAATGCGCACAAATTACTGTGCTGGCAGATTGATGGGGCCATAACCTGAAACAGTAGTAGGCAAGAGCAGCTGCAAGCAATAACCCTTCCTGCGGATGCGGAACGGAGCATGTGTCCGTTGCCACCAGCGGTCGGGTGCTTTAACCAGTCCTGCTGCTAGTCAATCTGTGCAAAATGTCCTGAATGGCCTTGTGTAGATGTGGATGAATAAAATATTCACAAGTAAGCATAAAGGAATTAAACATTACTGAAGCTTCATTAAAACCCATACAGGTAGCTGTTTTGTAAATGCGAATGAGAAAAATGAAATGTTTTTCGTTTGTGGGTTGCCAAAGGTTGTATATTAAGTCCATGGCAGAGCTGAGAAGAGAATTCAAGAAACCAAACTTAGATTCCTCAAGCTCTGATCATTGGTAACCATTGCCTTTGTTTACATACTTAGAAAATTCAGTTTTGAATGCATATATTAAATATCCAGTGTATCAATTGCTGGATGGTTGTAAGCAGCTTATTTTTAAGGGCATGTTTGGAGCCCCCACCTTGACTTTTAGGTTATTTTGATTTTGTCTGTTATAACATTTAAATCACTTCAGACATGGGTATTTTTTGTTGGTGGTTTTTGTGTCCTAAACTTCCAGGTATGTGTTTCCTATGCACTAGAAAACGTTGAAGCTGTCACACACTGGAAGAAGGTACTCCTAACTAGTAAACCATTATTTTATCTACTTGAAAAGGATGTATTGTGCAGAGCAGGAGGGTTACGTGCCATCTAAACAGGGGCATTCTTGGACTAAACTTGCAAGTACTACGAACAGCTGTCTGTTTTCTAAAAATGCCTGATGGTGATGCTGCTAATGGCAGATCCATGTTGTTGACTAGGAATACCTAAACAAGATAGAAAGTACAAAAGTTTGCATCAAGATTAACTTGATTTAAATTCCTTGCATTTAAATTCCACCTCTGCTTTATGGCTTAGCAAGTTAGTGCTACATCTAGCAAGATATGCTTTCTTTCCAACGCCTCCTTAGCCTGTTCCAGGACGGAGGCACAAAGGTTAAGGGTCGCTTTAATGTTTGTTTATTGATATAAGCTTTCTGTTGAGCCAGTAAAAAGAATTACACCATTGGTGCTACAAGCCTAGCGGTGATATAGAGAGGGCTTTATGGCAGTCATGCAGGTTGATGAGCTGTATGGATTCACCCTTGATGTCCAATGAAGATAAGTCATGAAAAAAAGCAGACCTTTTTTGTTTGGTAACCGCAAATAGGATAAGGCTTGTAGAAATAATAATTTTTGTTTTCAATTATGTTTTGTCTTTTGACCCTTGTTGTCTTCCTTTGGTGTGCTTTTCCTCCTCCAGCTGGGATGACAGCAGCTCTGTCAGCAGTGGGATCAGTGACACCATAGATAATCTCAGTACTGACGACATTAACACTAGTTCCTCTATCAGCTCTTATGCCAACACACCTGCCTCTTCTCGCAAAAACTTAGATGCACAGGTAAGATTTCTACTTCAGTTACAGTAACTTGGATATTTATTATTTTCTTTGTGCAATGGGCATAATTGTTTTAAGTTGGATGAATCTGCTTATTCATCTTTTGACAGATAGTGTTTCTTGCCGTAATAATAATTACATGCATGAGTATTTTAAACAGTAACCTTGCTCTAGTTTGCAGCTATCTTTACAGCTTTCAGCAACTCAGGCTGAAAAACTTGGAAACTGGTCCAGAAAAAAAGTAAGAGTGCAAAGAATGATTGTTATTGCCTTGACTAATGTTTAATAGCATATTACTTTCCAGACTATCAAAACTAGGCTACAGGTTCCTGAGTTAGTTGACACTAATATTTTATATGCACCTTTGCTACCTCCCCTTTTCTTATACACTTGAACATGTGTGTGCACATTTAACCTTCAATACAGTGGATATCACTGAAAAGGCAATATTAAGCAGTCGTAACCACCTTATCATATGTGGCGTACAGGAATATTTCTTCTATGTGTGGAATCCATGGAATCTCTGCTGCAGTGGTATGGCAACAAATGAGTTTGACTTCTTAATAGGACTGCTATATAGAAAACATGCATTAATAGATGGGATTGTTTTTTAGTTCTAGAAAAGCTGTTATGTTTTTTGTTAAAGACCAGAATGTATTTAAGTCAACATAAAAGTTTAAAGATTATTTAATTATTTACACTTTAATCGTAAACGTAAATGTACTAAGCAAGTGAAACATATTATCTTAAACTTCCAGGGCTGCATGTTACTGTAGGCTTTCTATTTTTGGCTGCATTTCATATGAAGATAAATTTTATGTCCATCGGCAGCCTATGTGTAGTTTTTTTGTGCTCAGATACTATACATCCAAGTAGTGTAAACCAGTGAAGATATCAAGCAGTTTTTTTATTCATCAATTAGATTGTGCTGTATAGAGATGTGTAACATTTTCTTTTCCCTAATAGTATGGAATTTTGTTTGGCAAAGTGCTGGTCTAAGCAGTCTAGTTTTGTTCTTTATATACCCACCTGTTCTAGGGGAGTCAAGTGTCCTGTGTCAAAGCAAATGCAGAGTAAAACTTGGCATTGCAGCAAAGAAAGCAAGGAGATGTATATTTGACTTTCTCTTCTATTTCTTTCCTCTCCTTTATTGTTTTTATTTTTTCTTTTCATGACTGGACCCTAAATCTATTTTTAATATCAATTCTAATGTAGAAGTGTGGTTGCTGTGAAGTATTAATATGCCTACAGGTCGGTGATGTAAGCATGTATTACTCTCTGTTCCCTTGCTGTGAAGTGCATATTTGAGCCTACATTAAAGATTTCCAGAGTTAGCCTCCGGTTGTGTATCAGTGATTTCATGTGTGCTTGAAACTGCTCATACATGTCCCTTACAAACTGAGTGGAGTTAAGATCAATCGAGTATGTTCTACAGTATGTAACAGAAAGAGTGACATAGACAACTAGAAGATTTTTTGACAATTGCTAGTATCTGAACATTGTAATACTGTTGGAAAAAAAAAGAAAAGAAGAAAAAGGATACATGACTAAATATTAACCTAAGGAAAAAAAATAGAAACTCATTTGACTTCTATCTTCTGATGGATCATATTCTTGGAAACACCTTTAAGAGATCAAAATCTGTGTTGATGAACTCCTCTTCCTCCTCCACAATTATTATAGCATCCAAGAGAGTGCAGACATACAGTAGAAGAAAAGGACCTAAAGCTTGTACAGACAGTAGAGCATATGTATTAGAAGAGGGAGCTGGGAGCCAAGACATGCAACTTATATTTACAGTTGTTCCATTTTTGTCTGTGACCTGCTTCTCCCTTTAGTTTTCACGGCTGACAATATTTATTCCAGGTATTACTATTAACTGCAAATCAATTTTCATAAAATATTTTGTTTTCCTTTAAACATCAAATCCTAATCCTGTCACTCAAGGAAATGAAGAGTGGCTAGGAGTGATGGAGCTGTGTTTAGTATGGAGTGTTGATTTTTAGCATCCCAAAGTAGCCCTCCCAGCTCGTGACATAGCACTGCATGTATACCTTTTCTGTCCTGCCTGGACTGTTGTATGCTAGCCTGTGCACTGAGCCACAAAAGACGGGCAGAGATCTGCACAGGGATGTGGATTTTTCTTCTCAGGGTATCCACTGCTTTGGATGTTCCTTCATAGCAGGCATTTAACTTTCAAGCTGCTATGATTGTACCACATCTTTTTGAGGTGGTACAGAATTGGGGCTTCAGATAATTAAAGCTTGAAGCTAATGCATGTGCAACTGAGAGTCCAGACAAATAATGTAGCACATCAAAGGGAGAGGGCCCTGACATGTTAGTGTCTGTTGATACAATCAGTAAGACTGACTCAGAATCATCTCTACAAAGAAGGCATAGTTACAGAAGAGAAAAAGAGCCTGTGCTAAGTAGAAGACTAAGAAATTGATTTTCAGAGCAGCTGAGTACCCACAACTCCAGAAAAAGATGCAGGTTCTACATCTCTGAAAAGCATACCAAAAATATGATAATGACTACATCCTCATAGACATGCCTTTTCTGTAGCAATACTGTGAAGATGTCCCCAAGTTGGTTCTGAGTAAGCTAGTGTGGGAACCAGAATTTGCCTTACCATGGCACTGTGTCTTGCCTTGTTATGCCAAGTATCAAACCACTTAATGTAGCTATACTGCTTTTGGGCCCCTAATGTTTTTCTGTTGTATCGCACACACTTAAGGTTAGCTAAGTTAGATTTTAACATAGTACTGCATATGGGATGCTTTTAAGGTCGTATTGTACACAGATTGTATTAGGAGGCTAAGACCAAGGGGGCGTTTGAAAACAACTTATATAACTGAAATAGGAATGGAAGATACAATGTAATAAACTTGTTTGCATACTCCTAAAAGGACCAGAAGAAGAAAAACAATTCCTTTAAGAGGAAAATAGCAGCATCTTCAACCTGTTCGATCAAGATGACTTCTCAATACCACTGGAGCAGACTGGGACCCAGCCTGTTCACATCTTCATGAATAAACTTTGAAAGCTGTATGAGTAGGTTGCAGAATCCTACTAGTTACCTTTATTCCCACCTCAATCCAATGGCAGCCTTTTTTCACATTTTATATTGTATTTGTCTTGCAATGACTTCCAGCAAACAGTATTTCCACTTTCACCTAATCCAGGTCTTTCAGGTGGGTGGAGTTTCAGCTGAAATGGCAAAGCCAAGTTTCACTATGTTTTGATTTTGATTCCTTAGTCATGTTTCTAGGCTGTTCTCGTTGTTTACCATTAAACAGAAGCATCTCTGGGCCAAGTGCTTCAAGGGTGGCTGCGCAACGTTTTAAAGTCTTGGGTAAAGTATTTAGCCATGGGTGTAGTAGCTGAATGAAATAAAACTGAAGAAACCAGAGATAGAGGCCTTGTTATAATGCAGTTCTTTGTTGAGGTTTTACTGTTCTTACAGACGTAAAGGAGAAAAATAGAAAGTACGGGAACATTTTATAAGCAACGAAAACGGGAATAAGCACTAGGTAGGCGTATTTGCTGCTCTGGAACACTTGCAGTGCAAATAGAGAATTCCAGACAAGGGACTTGAGGCAAGATACTAATGAAATCACATGAAGGATGATGATAGTGTGATTTTGTTCGTTGGTTATTTGTTCTTTTTGGCTTGAGCTGTCTTCCAAGATGCATGAACGTGGGAGATGTTTCCATGAAATGATAATTTTAGAGAAACAGACGAGGGAGAAATCATCACATTATGAATTTATTACAAACCTGCTCATGTTCATAAATAAATGGGTAGCAAACCCAAAATCTTGCAACCGTAGGAAAAGAAGGAGGTTAGAAAGCAGTGTTTTATTCAAGACTATGCTGAGTTGCTCTCTGTGGATGAAGAAATTTTTATCCAGATCTAGATCAAACATGGACGTTGGACATGCATGGTCATGTAATAGTTGGTTGTGGTGTTATAAAATTTGCCCAATTAATCAACAGCATTTGAGAGGAGCCATAAAATTCTGCAAGAAAATTTTAATAGTAATCATTAGCAGCTACAAAGAAAAATGCATGAGGGATATATTTAGGATAACAGATTCGGATAGAGTTGCTCAGAGTTTGGCAAAGTCTTGGTAATGAGAAAATTCTGTATTTGGTATTGATTTTCGCAGTATTCTGTGGAAGAGACTGGCAGCACAATCAGTCTGGGCGAAGGATAGGGAAAAACAGTTTGTAAGAGCTGAATATAAATTAACAACTGACTCAATTTATGTATTTAAGTCTGAAATCAATACTGTTAGAAAGTTGTTGGGGTTTCATTTTTCTTCAGTTCCTGGGTGTCTTCCTTTTATGTTAGATTAGAATTAACAGCATTCCATTTCTTGAAGTCTGTGCAAAAAGCTGCCTGATCATGCTCTGGAGATCAGATCGCCAGACAAGAGATAGGAAACAGCAAGAACAAAGAAAAGCTGGCTGCACAAGCTTGAAATCATTTTTAGGCGTTGCAGTGAAAGGGTTCGCATGAAATTTGAGATGGAGGATTATAAATGTCATGGCGCTGAGCATATCCTTTATACATCAAGTATTTATTTTTCTTTATTTACTGCTTTACTGGGGGTTATGTTCTGTTTTACTGAGGGAGGTGCTTGCATGTTTTTTGTTATTTTCTGTAGTACATTAGAAAATAAATGTCATTGCTAGGGTTTGTTTCCTACTGTGACATTTCTTTATCAAAGGCATATGATATCTGTTGGTAATTGGAGCTGACTCCTGAGTTTAGTTATCAATTTGATGGTTCTTATTTGTGAAGCTTAATAAAAGAAGGATTTGTTATGAAGGTTCTATTATAATTTATTATCTATCCTAGACTGATGCAGAAAAACATTCCCAGGTTGAGCGGAATTCCTTATGGTCTGGTGATGAAGTCAAGAAATCAGACGGAGGATCAGATAGTGGCATAAAAATGGAGTCAGGATCTAAATGGAGGCGGAATCCCTCTGATGTGTCTGATGAATCTGATAAGAGCACTTCTGGTAGGAAGAACACTGTTATTTCCCAGACGGGTTCCTGGCGACGGGGCATGTCAGCTCAGGTTGGCATTACCACACCAAGGACTAAACCTTCAACCACCTCAGGCACGTTAAAGACACCTGGAACAGGTGAGAAAAAGTATAAGACATAAGCGGCCAAGAGTGTGTTCAGTAGGAAAACTGTTTAAATACTTTCCAGAGGCAGAACCTGAACTTCAAGTAATGCTGTCTTTATTTTTAGGCATAGTTTTAAAGGTGTACAGCATCTTGTATCTCCACATTTCTATCTCTGCTCATTTTAAAATATATATTAGAACACCTTGGAAGTTGTTTTCATGACAACCCTAATCTTAAGCCAAGCTACCTGTTGGGCATAGTATTGCCATTTGAAGAACAATAATAACAATTTTAGCTTCTGAATTTGTGATTAAGTTTGAGAACATAGATTGTATGTGGTTGAGGACATTTTTCTCAGTACTAAAACAGCATGCTAATTTATACCTAAACACACTGCGGTTCCCCCTTTTCTTGTGACTGTATTAGTGTAGCAGTTTCAGATGTGTGGATGAAAATTGATTGAATTTGTATAATGAAACAATGTAAGTTAATATCTCTTCTCTTCTCTTGATTGCGTACACAATTGTGTGTGGAAAAAGTTGAAGTCAAACACTTACTTTCTGTAAAAATGCATTTTAGAAAAACTATACTAATGTCCTAACACAGCTTCTTTCTGATGATAGAAAGGGATCAATCTATGGTAACTACAAAGGGAAACATTTTTTTTCTTAGCTATCACTATTACATAAGACTTTGTTTTTCATATTCTCAAGGGCAAACACACCACATACTTTCTCTGGCTAGTCTGCATGTATAACTCATTAGAGTGGCATTTAAGTTCAGTGCAGACTAGATCATAATTTTTAACTGCACTCTTGTGGCTAACATGCTTTGGCTTTTCATGCTGCTTTGAGTTTCATCATTTGCTTGATGTTTTCAAGTCATTAATCAGAAAAGGGTAGACTATCTCCTAAAGCTGGACATGTTAAACGTTCCCCATCAGATGCAGGACGCAGCAGTGGTGATGAATCCAAAAAGCTTCCCACAAGTAACTCTAGAACAACTGCTGCTAATGCTAATACATTTGGATTTAAGAAACAGAGTGGGTCAGCTGTAGGCATGACTATAATTACTGCCAGTGGGGCAACTATCACCAGTAGATCGGCTACCCTGGGAAAAATCCCAAAGTCATCTGGACTCATGGGTAGGACCACTGGTCGGAAGACTAGTGTTGATGGCTCACAGAACCAGGATGATGGCTACTTAGCACTTAGTGCCCGAACTAATCTTCAGTATCGTAGTTTACCCCGACCCAGTAAATCCAGTAGCAGAAGTGGAGCTGGGAATAGATCTAGTACAAGTAGCATAGACTCCAACATAAGCAGCAAGTCAGCCGGGTTGCCTGTCCCTAAAATGAGAGAGCCGGCCAAGGTAATTCTTGGAAACTCTCTGCCAGGATTAGTCAATCAGACTGATAAAGAGAAAGGGATTTCGTCCGACAACGAAAGCGTGGCCTCATGTAATTCTGTTAAAGTGAACCCTGCATCACAGACTGCTTCTAGTGGAGCTCAAAGTACTCACCAGCAAGGAGCCAAGTACCCTGATGTGGCCTCTCCCACTTTGCGCAGGTAGGCAATAAATTCATTGATTGTGAAATGATGTTAGCTGGAGCTGAATGATCAGGACTCTTCCAGCCAGGCCTGGCTGTGTTTTGTGGAACACTTACCATTTAGTGTCCTCCATCAAGGTCTTTGTATTTAAATTTAATTTCACATAAACAGGTCGGCCAGTGTTGTAAATACTCAGTATGTTATGAGACAGAGGCAAAAATTTAACCTTTGAAAAAAGCAGTTGGGCAGAAAGTTTGTAATTCATGATACAAGTTCGTTTATTACAAAAATCATATGTAAAAGCATTATCCATACAGATATCTCAGAAATAAGGATTTTCTTACATTAATATTACTGAAGAATTCTTGCACCAAAGTATATATAACAAGTCTGGAAATACTCCAGCGCTGAATCGAATTACAAGTTGACAGCCGTAGAGTAATTTCAGATTTTCATCATAATGACAGCATAATTTGACCTAACATACTTAGACTCATATGCCTGACCCAAACAGATATTTCAGTTGTGTGGATTAGCTTAGTGTTTGAGAGACTCATGACATCAGATTATTCAACATGTAGAGGAACCCTAAGTAAAGTTTCTATCTCAGTTTGGTTGAATGTTCTTATTTTAACAATTTTTTAAACAAAAAGCATATTTGACTTCTGTTTCTCCACTTCTGGCCCACATGTGATTTTAACACTAATACTGAGTTATGCAGGAATTAATTTGTTGATGCAATGTGCATCAAAATCTTGATATTGGTGAAAAGTTCCGTTAATATTATTTCTCATTTTAATTTGGCATTATGAGTAACTTGTCTGTTTCAAAGTGCAGTGTGTTGCATTTCATTTTGTCTTGACACCATAATACCCATACAATTACGCTACCTCATCCTGCTTCCAGTGATGTGATAAAGCCCCATTCCATCTGAGGCACCACTGCAAGCGTAACGACTGTGATGGCAGCTTAGGCTAAAGTTGTAAAGGGTTGAAGACTGTTCCTTTTTGAATGGGTGGTTTTGTTTGGAAGAGCCTTTGCGTGGATAATTCAAGATACTTCATTTATTTTATTACTAGTTGTTATTAGATAAGGCATGTCTTTCAGAACATTTAATTTTCAACCATGACTACTTAAAATGAAAAACTCAAATAGGCCTTTCACATCTGTAGCATATCCCATGACACATGCAGATTTTCAGTGCTGCATGCCTCAAGCACATACATATTGAAATCTGATTGCAGATTTCTTTTAATTACTAGAAAACCATGTTGCTAGCCATGGAATTGAAATATTACACTAAAAATACATGCAGCTTTTAAGAGAAGATACTGGGAGAATAGCAGGCAATATAGGCTTCTTATTACAAGGGATTTGTGAGACTTAATTTAACTGTTCCTCTTTTGATTTCCAGTTTCATTCCTGAATTTTCTCCATACTGTCTAAATGAATAGTCATGTATGGAAATGCATCAGGGTTGAATCTGGGCTTTTCCAGTTTTTTACTGATATCTAGAACGTCAATTAAGATTTTGAGCTTAATTTTCATACTCAGTTGAGTTGTACACATTGTGTTTATTACCTATTTGCCATGTAATTATTGAATATTAAAGAGCAAATTAGGAGAAATGGTATAACTTAACCTGTAAGTCTGCAAACATACATACTTTCCATGTTGTCATAAACAGTGAAATTCTGCCATTATGCTGTGAGAGTCATCACTATCTCTGTTCTCTCAGTAACACTAGTATTATGTACCTGGCATTTCCCTTAAATGGAACCACTGTCTATCTTGATATGTTTTATTATTAAATTGGCTTAATGTTTTGTGGTACGTAACATACCTCTTTTCTCTCAATGGGAGATAAGCGTGGTCCAAGAATCAGCTCAAATATGTCTGCTTCTTGTCAGTATTGGTAGAGAGGAGCAGGAGTAGAGAGTGTCGTTCCCTGCAGAATTTTTCCTTCCAGGGTTAATCTCTGGGTTGATGTGACTGACTTGCTGGGTTGGATTTTCTCTGAACTGAAAGGAATGCTCTTCAGACCGCATCCTCTTTTGACTGCATTTGTTATAAGGCTGTGGTTGAGCAATCCACTGCCTTTGGCAGCAAAGTGTTTCTGCCTGTGCCACAGTGTATCATACTTCCAGTTGTCTCAGAGGTGCTGTAAAACAGATTGGGGAAGACTGGAGAGCTTAAAAAAAGCTTTCAATAATGTTGTGTTTGATTTTTTTTCTCCCCCCACCTATTTCTGAGTCTTAGTCCTGCAGTACAGCTGAAGAGGGGGCATGCTGTGGCACAGGAGTTAGGAATACTGCAAATTGCCGTTGTTACTGAAGACCATATATCATAGCAGTATAGTTTGATATTTTTCTTCATGTTTGCTCAAGTAGCATTATCTCAAATAAAACTTAGACTCTAAATGTCTCTAAATCCCTGTAAGAACGGGTCTTACCATTTAAAGCCTTTTGCTTGTCGAAGTCGGAGTCTCCTCAGCAGTGAGGTGCCATGTTGAGCCTAGGTGAATCAGGTTGGCCAGATCTGTGCTGGTTTGTGAATTTCCGCATGGCGCGCTCTAAATCAGGTGCTGTGGGGATCAGGGCACAGCTACTAGAGCAATGCTGGGTATCAGATATATGCAGTTGGGCATCTCAGCCTGAGCCCGCAGTGTTGTTCTAGGGCTTTGTGGTGAGAATACAACAGCGATAATCCAGTGGAAATGTCCCAGACGTTGCACTTACACATTGAAGCTGCAGATGGCACATGTGCTTTTGGACATCGCTGGACTTACTGCACATGTGTTCTGAAGGGCCTAGCTATATTATACAGCCTGTGTTTCTGGGAAGTGTTGGACAGGCTTTGTGTGCATGTGTTGTGCAGACAACTTGTGCATACTCAAAGAAGAGAAAATTCCACTCACTGCAAAGCCACCTGTGTGTCTGTGGGAGCTCTTGGCTAGGAGTGCCCTAGTCTTCTGTGCTGAGCGCTACAGTCACACAGATACCAGCTTTGAAAGATTTCACTCCTAATGTTGCATACTATTGATATGAAAATAGCAAATCCATGTAGATATGTTTGAGGAAAACTAAGGTTCTGTATGGAGTTAAAGGGGTGAAAAGGCAGAAACGGAAGCACTTTTTTTCCTGTAGGATGTTTGAAGCTAGAGTCAAAAGCGACACATCTCTCAGTTTTGAGAGTCACCTATGAAATATTTGAGACTCTAATGTTAAACACATGTACATCTAGGACACTCACACTTTTGAGAACTTTTCCCTGGGGCTGTTATGAGGGACCTGAAGTGTGCTGTCCTCACTGCGGGTGCGGTGGCGTGACAGTCGCCAGCAGGGAGGTTCTGGCCCTCATCTCATCTTTATTGAGCCAGTTCAAGGTGCTAAACCAGATAAAATCTAATCCTACACCCAAAAAGTTAGTTTTCAGCCAGTTTAGCTTCTGAAATGAGACAAGCCTACACTCGATGTCAGTAAATACTTTTGCATCCCCCTAGCTGTGCAGTGTTCAGTGATTTGTATAGAATTTACCCAGACAACAAACTTGTCGCCTCTAGTATTCTGTGCTTCAGATTAATCAGTGCAATATTTCTCTGATACACTTTTTCATTAAGGAGCAGAAGATAATATGGCTATATTTTAGTTCCGTGAAGCTATGTTTTAGCTTTGTGAAGGTATTGCCTGATGGTTCAGAGAAGAAAACACCTAAGATAGATTTGCAGTTATAGTAGTTGTCTCTGGACTTGACTGAAAGCACAAGCGAACACAAGAAGATTCATAAATTTATAGTTGTCTGTGTCTATGTCCGATCTAAGATCGTTTTCTTAGTGGTGGTTTTCTGAGGCTAAGAAGATAAATGATCTAGGTATAAAATATCTTTGCATTAGTCATTTAATATTCCATTTTATATATTTTTCATGTTGTCTTTTTCTACAGACTTTTTGGTGGAAAGCCTAGTAAACAAGTTCCCATTACAACAGCGGAAAATATGAAAAATTCAGTGGTCATCTCCAATCCTCATGCTACTATGAACCAACAGGGTAATCTCGATTCACCATCTGGCAGTGGTGTGCTGAGCAGCGGGGGCAGCAGTCCTCTGTACAGTAAAAACACAGACATGAACCAATCTCCGCTAGCTTCTAGTCCCAGTTCAGCACATTCAGCTCCCTCCAACAGTTTAACGTGGGGTACCAACGCAAGTAGCTCTTCTGCTGTTAGCAAGGATGGCATTGGATATCAGTCTGTCAGCAGTCTTCATACTAGCTGTGAATCCATTGATATCTCTCTGAGCAGTGGAGGTGGGCTGAGCCATAACTCCTCCAGTGGCTTGATTCCATCCTCCAAAGATGATTCCTTGACTCCCTTTGTCCGAACCAACAGTGTTAAGACTACATTGTCTGAAAGGTTAGTAGGTTTTTCTCTTGTTTCTGTAAGCTTGTATTTATCTCAATAGGAGTGAAGGCTTGGCAGTAACTGACACTGCAATTGCAGTTCAAGTTATCATTCCTACAAGATAATATTGAATGATATTACTAAAATATACAAAGAAACCGTTTTAGGCAAGGAGCCCAGTTCAGAGCAAGAGGATTGGTTCAGGTGAGATTTTTCGTTTGCTGCCGTAGCCTGTGCAATAACTTTTTTTGCTACCCTATTATACCTAATTTCTGGTACAATTGTACATTATCCTTCCAAAGATCAACTGTTAGTTGACCGATAGTGGTATTCCAAAAAAAAATCTCCCTCGTTGTTATAATGTTAATTTGTGAAGTCAACTATTTCTTATTAAACTTCATGTTTGTAACGTTTCATAAGGTTAGAATCTGGACTACAGGTGTGTGAGTGCTGTCATGATGGGAATGGTTTCTGAACAGAAGACTACCATTTGGCAAAATTTTAAAGTGGAGGTCATGCTGAAAAGAGAAGTCCCTGCCTCCCTAGGCACTTGATCCCTCCTTTGCCTCTCCTGGCTGCCTCCTCCACCCTAGCTGCTCCCTAGTGTTTTTGTACAAGCATTTGTGTGAATGCATACTGAACTGGATTGGGAGATTGAGCCAACTGAAAAAGGATCATCTGAATTATTTTTCAGACTGACCAGGGAGGCAGGAGCGGAACTGCTTTTTCAGCATCAGAGCTGTATTAAAAGCACATTAGGCTACCATCTCGATAAAACAGACATTAATTTGCAACACACGTTCCGTGACTGACCTTTTGTAGAAGGCAGTACCCCTGGAAGTGTTGGAAATCAGCTCTATCCTGATTATTTAGTCAGGTCGCAACAGTTTTGTAATTGCATCTTTATGAAAGAAAATTACTGCTGAAAGTGGTGTTCTGACAGTTTGGGTTTTTTTTGTTTTTTGTTTTTTAATAACAACTCCTTTCTGTTCTCTGCTCTTTTCGTTCTAATATTCCTTCTCTTGTTTTCTATCTTATTGGACTGATTCTTCCAGCCCTCTTTCTTCCCCTGCTGCTAGTCCCAAATTCTGCAGAAATACTTTGCCCAGGAGACAGGACAGGTAACGCTGTCTCAGGACAGGAGAATGCACAAAGGCTGTAGGTTTTGTTGCCCATCTCAGTGAAGCAAATTGTTTTGTGAAAAACTGTGCTCAGTTGAGTCCTTTGCTGTGTGTGTTGTTCAGGTGTGAGCTGACACAGAGACATGCCAGTGAGAGTCCACTCAAATACCTCATTTATCTACTTCAATCTGGAGAATGGCATATGGCAGAGTTGGCATGTTTTTGTTGTTGCTGTTGTTACGGGGAGCATTTTTTGGTTTGTGGGGTTTTTTGTTTGTTCGTTTCTTTGCCAAAGGCATTTGAAAATCTTGCAATTTTTTTTTCTACCAGTCTAAACTCTCACTAGCATTTCAGCATTCCTCTGGCATGCTGCTTTCCTTCCACTGCGTTGCAGGCCTGTCACTTTTGTCATGAAGTCCCAGTGTCATTCAATGTTGTCAGTCCTTTATTCCAGTTTGGTTCGTGAGTGTTTTGCGGGGACTTGTGTATATCCATCCTTGTTAAAATGAATGCAAAAGTCGGGAAAAGATGACCTGAATCTAACCATTCCAGCTCGCCTTTGCTCTCTGTTGCAATTTAGTGACTCCCACGCTGGGTGTCCGCTATAGTTTAGCTGTCAGGATTGTCGTTAAATGAATATGTTTAAGCATGTGCATATTTCCTTTAAAAACAAATTAACAGACTCTGTTCAGTTACAAGTTCATCAACTATAAAAACACGCACTATTAAGTATTTGGGGTTTGGAAGGCTAATAGATTCACTTTACTTTGGTAATGGAATTTAAGCTAAAATTTGGAAGTTTAAACAGCCTGTGCTTAGTACTTGTACTGCAATATATTGCAGCTACCTAACACTAACTAGCTGCACTCCCTAACTGGTGGCTACTGAAAGAAACTCAACGGGAAGGCATTGTTCACGTGGAGATTCTCATCAGTTTTCACAAATAAACTTCATGCCTGCCGAAATACATATTTTTAAGCATTCATTTGATGCACAGTGTTTTTATGTTTAAAGAGCCATTTTTATTCACTGTGGATAGGAGAAATGGCAAAACCACCCTGTGAGCAGATTAGATTCATTCGCATGGTATCGTCAGATGCATGTTCATGAAAATCCGCACATGGGTAAGGAGGTTTCTGCATGTTCCTTTAGGAAGAGCACTGCGCTTTTTCCTCTGAAAAGGGGATGCAGATGTTTGTACTTCCTTCTGCAGCCTGATCTTAATCCTTCCCTTTTGTTCTTCTCTGAAGTTCTTTTCTTTTAACTTTTCTGCAGCGACCCCCATCTTGATAGGAACACTTTGCCTAAGAAGGGACTCAGGTATTGGTGTTTCCACACAGTATAACAGCTTTGTCGTGGCTTTGGAGTTTGCTTTGTGTTTCTGTTGTGACTGTTGGTGAAAGCAAGAGGTTGCAACAGTCTCTGTTCCTTTCTTTCTTTGTTCCTTTCTTTCTTTGTTCCTTTCTTTCTTTGTTCCTTTCCCTAATCCTTAAAGAAGGCCATTTACCACTGTGCTTTTTTCCATCCAGTGGCTTCTCCGCTTGAGCAAGAACTGTGGCTTTTGCTGGCTGAATTGCTGAAAAGCATCTCATAATCCATCACTGGGCTTGATTTGAAAACAATAATTTAGCAGCTTTTATGGCTATTATGTGAAATGACATGAAATCATTTTCACAATGCAGCCCCGGGAATCTTGATGTTGATGTAAAATCCATCCTTTAGGATGAGATTGGAAATATTGGACTTAAAATGCTATATGCTTCGGGATACGTATATATAGGTCTGTAGAGATAATTTCTACCCTTCTAGAAGAAAGTAAAAGAAAAAAAAAAAAACTCCAAGCTGACAGATATTTGGCAAATGTCTTCTAATACGTTTTATGCATCCGTAAGGTTGTGATTTTTTTAACATTAAAAAATTGCACCAAAAAAGATTTTTCTATTGATACAAGCAATTCTAGCAAGATTTTCAACCTGAGGTCTATTAATTAAATGCTTTAAGTGCTATGGAATTTACAGAAAATGCCTTGGACTATTTATAAAATTGCAACTTCAGAATTGCTGTGTGCTGCTTTTAGGATCACTAAGCTGATGCCTTGAAATTGCAGCTGCAGTTTATTCTGTGCTCTACACGTTATTCTTCACAGCAGCTTTATCACATGAAGCTGAGTGCTAAAAGCATTTCTTAAAATGGAATTTTTGTTTAAGATGTTTCTGTGGTTGTCAAGTGTGTCTCTAATAAATAAAGACTCTCCTTTAAGACTGAAACATTCGAGTGCTGAAGAGGTGGGTATTGATGCTGTAAAAAAACCCTTAGTGTGTTAACATAAAATGACTGTTTAAAGCCCTTTTCTTAATAAAACTGATATATATGTGCAAAACTTAAGAGATGCAGATAGACTTCAGTCAGGGACTGTTGCTTGAGTGGTGAGAAAGAAGAATGAATATATGTTTTGAAAATAGTTTGAGTTTTTGCAGTGTTAGTTGTGTCTTTCTATAGAGTATCCAATCAAATGGAATCTAATTAATTAAATAGATAACTGACTGCCTTTTAAATAATAGGCTCCAGTTGTTTAATTTTTGAAAGAAGAGCTTAGTAGTTCATAAATATTTCTCAAAACCAGACGGTGCAGTGTAACACCACTGATGCTGACATCCGTCAGCAGAGAGGTGCTGTGTCACTTAGCATGTGCTCATCGTCTCGCTGTTTCAAAGCAGGCACTTTTGTTACGCTCTTTCTGTTGATACCTATATCCTACCGCATATTTCACATAACTCCTGTGATAACCTGCTTACTTTTCAGGCAGATACAAAAGCATGATTAAAACTCTGGCTAAGGTGAGGCTAGTTGGTGTTTTGCCATTCGTGTCAGCATAGTTGGGATTTCCACTATTTTCTTTGGCTTCAGAAAAGCTAAGCATGGGACCCTTTATGGTGATCTAATACTGTTAGTTTTGAACTAAATGGGATATTCTTCCAAAGACTTTTATACGAACATCTCCATAATATGAATTACTGTGACACAGCTTGTTTAAAAATCTGATAATGGCTTTGTTGACTTGAATTTGATTATAGTGTCAAAAAAACCAGCTAAACTTTGAGACAGACCAAGATATTAAAATAATGATACAATTTTGGCATAACCTAAGGAAAGGAAAGGATTTCCAAATTGTGGTTTTATTTTTCAGTCACACATGCATATACACACACGCTACACTTCCACACTGCACTACTTCTATCTGTAACTTCTTGTTTACTACTGATTGGTTTACTATTGAAGCCATAGGAAAGGGGTTGTTTTTTCCAAACCCAAAGGAAATGGTTTAAGCTTGGAACAGCTCCTTTACTCAGAATTGTGTTGTATGTATCATTTTAACACTTAAATTATATATGGAAATTTTTCTGTCTTTCTCCTTCTCTTCCCCTCCCCAAGTCTTGTGACATGTCTCTTTTGTTTTTTTTTCCCCCTAATAAGAGTCAAAGTTCATTTTGAAAAAAATGTTTTTACAGGTATACTCCTTCATCCCAAGTTCGTAATCAAGAAGATGCAAAAGAGTGGCTACGGTCACATTCCAACAGCAGGCAATTCTCCATTTTCATCTGGATCCAGCATAACATCACCTTCTGGAACTAGATTTAACTTCTCCCAGCTTGGTGAATAATTATCTGTTTTGGTAATCATAGCAGTAGGTTGTGCCTTGAAAACAGAGTTATTACCCAATACAGTACTCTGTGAGTAGCTCCAAGTACCACCCTGGCCATCAGGAAGCACTTTTCTTTGAAATGACTGCAACTAATCAGCATTGTTATCTCGGGTGCCCAAAGGTCGCATTCATGCAGTACCTCTTTTCTATGAGTAATCAGATGCCTTTATATAAATTGTGAGCTATTCCATAGAGCTATGTGTTAATATCACACATTGCTGTTTTTAAAGGAATTAAAAAGTTGCCTGCCTGCTTAGTAATATTGCTTTAAAATCCAAGCACGTTTCTTAGCATATGTGTCAGTCTAATCGTTCTAAGATATTTTAATCTTTGTATATGTTTTTCAGTTGGCTTATTCAAAAATCAAACAAAGCTCAATCTGAAATAATCATATAAAAATCAGGGGAATTCTAAGCTAGAAAATTTGCCATTTCTTCACTTAATGACGTAGATACATGTAAGACTTTTTTAAATGAAGGAAACAATAAAAGTTGCTTAACAGGATCCATAATGCTTTGCAGATATTAGTTGATGATATCAGCAGGTAAAATAAACTGATTTACAGTGTTCATAGGCTAGAGAATATATCTGGAAATACTTTGCGTGCTTTCATCTTGAAAGACAGAAGTCTCATTCTTCATTGATCTGTAATTTGGCATTCAAGTTGAAACAGTCAAAATATTTTGTATAAGAAACAAGTATTTATTTTATTGTGAAATGTGCAACGACTATTTGCAAGATAAAAGTCTGCTCAGATATTGAGCCTTGCAGACGCTGAAGGCCACCTGAAATCTCACACAAAACCTTTTTAAACAGTGTATATTTCCTTTTCTGGTAAGTTCAGCAGTCAGCACACTATGGGCACCTGTTTAGAAAGATCCAGTTATCAAAAATATATGCTTGTCTCTGGTATGGCAATTTAGTATTATTTTGGTGCCTTTGCAATGTGCTTAGATATGAAAATCAATCCTAACAGCATATATTGTCTTCAAGTGAAATTTGTAAAGCATTATGTTGAACAGTTTTCTTCTGTTTCTTTCTGACTCTCAAAAGCCTCTCCATCTATTCTAAAAAGAGAAAAAATTATATGCAAAACAGTTGAGCTTATATTTGTAAACTTCTCATATTATATGAATTTGCAACATGGTTACCTCTTTCTAGTGTAGTTTTGAGTAGTAGCAGTGACATTTTAAAGCATCTCTTTGAGTGTACTGAGAAGAAAAAAAAAAAGATTAAATAAACAGCTCTAAATAAACTAACACTTAGCAAAATTTCAGCTAAATATACAGACAGTGTCATTACGTTGCCAACAGCTAACAAACTGTCAAGCTCATGAAAGTACATTAGTGGTCAAACAAAAAGCTATAGTCTCTTTAGGCTCGGAAAGTTAACTCTTTATGGAGAAAATTGAAGATCAGTGACATTAATATGTTTCGAAAGCTGTTTGGCCTCAAGCAATTAACAGGAAAAAAAAAGATATTTAACTGTAGTCTTAATAAAAGAGTTTGGAGATACTGAAGTCAAGAGATACCACTGCATTTACTTTAATAGCAAATGTTGATACAAAAGTTGAGCACCTTCAGACAGAATTACTGTATTTTCTACATAAAAAGAAGTAAATCTTTAAAAGAGCAGATTAATCATGTAATCAGTGCCTCAAATAGTCATGTAACTAGTGCCTAGAGGAGGAAAGTATGTCATGAATCAGGAGATCAGGAGGCAATTGACAGAATTCTGTATCAGTTGATGGAGTGTATAGAAGCAGGCAGTGACAATACGGATAAAGGAACCTGTTCAATGGCAATTCTTTGTTCAAATTTTTTCAACAAAAACATAAAAAGAAACAAAGTTGTTTCCATAAAAACGGTTCTTAGTAAACATTGGATATAATTTAGCACAAAAATTCTTTAAAAAATATGGAACTGAAGTGGAAGTTTTGTATTCTAAACCACATTGAATTGAAGAGTGTTGGCTTTTGAGGCAATATTAATGTTTGTAGAGTGTCTTTTAGCCTGTGTACTTCTAATAATCCTTAGGACCTCATCGTGTAAAGAAAATTCTGAGATGTACTTCTGAAATACAAATCATTAGGAGACTGAACCTCTTAAAATTTGTGACTTCTCTTAAATACACATAAAATGTCACTTTCTTAGAGCTTGAAAGCTTTAAAGCAGATATTTCACAGGGCTTGTTCTATGTAGGCAAAAGATTACTTTATATTCCTTTGGGCATTTGACTCCTTTTTGAGGAAGGACTATTCCAAATTAAATGAGGATTAATTAACTCGTGCCTACAAGGTGTTATATAGTTCATTGAGCTTGTCTGTAGAAGCATAGACTTATCACCCAGTGTTTAAACTGACCTTATTTACTTGTGTTTTCATATTCATTAGCTTGCTTTACATACCTCTTGACATAAATCTGTTGATTTTAGAAAGATCATGAAATCTGGAGAGGAAGACATCAAAAATTTGTATCTTACAATAAAGAAAAAAGAACTTTTTTGGTAGTTGCACAAAAAACAGGCTTGAGAATTTGTAATCTCACAATTAAATTGGTCTTTATTCTTGACCTTGTAGCTAGCCCAACCACTGCTGCCCAGATGAGCTTGTCAAACCCAACCATGCTGCGGACTCACAGCCTTTCCAATGCAGACAGTCCGTACGACCCCTACAGTGACACGCGCTTCAGGAACAGCTCAATGTCCCTGGATGAGAAAAGCAGGACAATGAGCCGCTCTGGCTCATTCCGTGATGGCTTTGAAGAAGGTCAGTAAAGTGTGTGAAAGTGCTTGGAATGAGCAAAAGAGCATTCTCAGTTAAACCAACTGTTAATGTAGTGCTTTTTAATTCAGTAGAGGAGTCATTTTAGCGCGAAGGTCTCTGTGTAGCATTCTCAGTGTTATATAGATCTTTAGCCTTAGTCATCTTTGTTCTGGTGATATTTGCTGTGTTCGGTGATCCTTCTGGACGGACTTAAGCAAGCGTATAAGTATTGTACCTCATCCATCACTACTGAAGAAATGAATTGAAGACATCCTATGTTTAATTTTTAGCGATCTCAGGACTCAAGTGCATGTTTACAGTTAGCAAGTTAAGGTGTTTTCTTGAATAGGAATATTCTCCTGAACCTGGGCCTCCACACTTCTGTTTGTAGCATAAATAATTGACATCAGCCAGACAGTTGTTTTTATCCCAGCTAATTTTTAAGTATTTAATCTGAATTCAAAATGGCTTTGCTTGCTCTTTCTGCTGAATGTCATGCATTTATATCCACATTGTTTTCACAGAGGGGACCTAAGTAGTTCTTCAAAACATATAGACTCTTCTTTTTTCTCTTTTGTCTTCTTTTCAGTTATGTAGTCATACCTAAAAAGAGAGGCCCAAGTAAATATAAGAAGAAACGGTCATTTACCTGTATATGATTATTTAGTTTGATTGCTACTGAGCTAGCAACATTATAGCTGTAGCAGGAGCGTCCAACCTGCCTGAACTATGAGTACCTGTTAAAACCCCATATGCTTACATGTCACAAAATACGTGACACGTACTTGTGGGAAGTCAAGGACAAGGCAAGCTCTGGGAGTGGTTCATGGGAAGGTGATGTCATTGGCTCTCCAATCTCTGTTTTGGCAAGGATGGGGAGTTTGGCTGAGACTCAGGTGCTTTACTGATATGGGTCACAGAAGTCTTTGCTTCCACCACCATGAAAGGTTTGCGTTTACTTAGCATGTCAAAACCAGCACACCACTGTTGCCACTCGTGTAGAGTTGGCTGTGCTTGGGAACCACTCCTGAAATGCTTACAGAGGTCTGTAAGAGAGCCACAGGGTGTCTTCCTGAAGATACCAGTTACCCCATCAGTTTTCTATTGAGCAAAAGCCATTGGGGATGGGGAACCGTGTATATTGGATATAGCTTCATGAAGATTCAGGGCTAATTCTTTATTGAATTCTGCCAGTCTAACTCCATTAGATATAATTGTGTTTTAGAGGCTCACAGCTGAGGATCTTCATTAGGAGCTGAAAATGATTAGAATAACCCTGCAGGACTGAAAACTATGTCCTTGCAGGAACTGACCCATTTTTGTGCCGTGCTCACAGGAAGCCCGATGATCATAAATAGTCAAAGATTAGCTGATACTTCGAAGAGGAGGTCAGTTGAATTCCATTCTGTGAGGAGTAGTCCCTCTCTTACTAAAGTGTCCTTTAATATTATCGGTGAATGAATTTAAATCACTGCTTCTTTATTACGTTTAGATGATTTGAAAGAGCTGCCATAGCAAAACTTATTCAACTGTTATCCAAGACATCCTCCAAAAAATTGTAACCTTGTTCTTTTATTATTTTAAATATGGATAAGATTGCAGCTAATCCATTTTGGCATATGGAAGGATAAACTATATTTTATAATTCAGAAATTCTTGTACAGGAGAGAGACTAGTTTAGAAGAAAAATTTAAAAAATATTACATGTTTGTGGGAGGAATCATTTAAAAAAATAAAAGAAAAAGAGTAGAGTTATCCAGGCCAAATGTGCTGCCAAGCACTTTTCATTCACCTTTTTAAACCAGAAAGTTAAGTCTAAGAACACCCTACCAAGTCATGGACCTGAAGCCAGTGGAAAAATACTACTTTTATATGAGGAAATAATTTGACCCTGCAGTGAACATGCTGATGAAGTAGTCAAATTCAGATGTCCCTAAATTTTTGGCACCTAAAAGGATAATAATATTTTATCAGATGGGACGAAAGTTTTTGTGCAGTCTCGTTTTTCACCTTCAGATTAAAGGCCTTCTGTCACTTCTATAGCCTATAGCCTTACTGAAAGCAGAGGTAGCCCTGTAGCTCCCACTTGTTTCTAAGCTAATGAAAAGTTCCAGGTGAGCACGTGGTGTTGAATATGGTGTGTATGTTCTCCTTTGCTTTCAAACCTGTGAATCTAATTCACCTTCAAAGAGCAAGCACCCCTTGAGAGAACAGGTAAAAAAGTATTACAGAAATTCAGTTTGCGGTTAATGGCTGAATTCATTTTATACATATATGGCTGTGAAAACAACCAGCTAGCGTCAGTGGAGGGTAAATTGACATCTTAAATAATGCTTACCAACCTACCTCTGAATTATTTATTGACACATAGAATTACAAGACATTTGATTCTCGTTAGCTTCAGGAGAGCCGGGATTTTATTCTTAAAAGCCTTTTTTTTAAACTTTTGTCTCCGTAGTGTGCAGTACTGTCATATTTTCTTACAAGACAGCATTTAGGTGGAAATGTTAGTCTTTCTGATTCTTTCAACATGAAGGGTTTCAGGACTGGGGAGATGCCAGCAGGAACAGCCTCCAGAACTTCAAGGAAAAAGCACAACCTAATACTTAATCAATATCTTGGCTACCCAGTTTCCCTGCTTCCAGGGAAGTAAGTCTTCCCCACGACCTGTGCTGCTACTGCCTCCAGCCTGATGTTTTAACCTGCTTGAGAAAGAGGAATGAAAGAAATTGTTTTGGGGATATAATTTGTTGATTTTCATTCCCTTCCATGTTACTGACCAACATACCTGTTCTTCTTTCTGCTGTTTGGCTGATCATGGCTGCACTGTTTTTTCCTAACGTTACAAACAATACATGGTTGCATGTGCAGGTATAGTGCTTTAGAATAATAGCTCCAAAACAATTTGGGTTTGTAGGCTGCGTGCAGATGCATGTTAACTGCAGAAGGCAGGAATCATGTCAAGAGCATAGCTGCCTTCAGGCTCCTAGTTAAATGGCCTTAAAGTAGCCATCTGCAGATACTTTAAAAAGAAATTGCAGACGAATTTTAACTCCTTGGTTGTCCTTGAAACTATAAATTTTCAAATTGTATACACGTTCAAGTGATGCAGTGGTGGTGTTTTGCAAGGCAGGAGTCTGGTTCCCAAGCAGAGTTACATTTCTTTCCCCTTTTCACTTTGATTCTTCTTTTCTCCTTTAAGTATTCCAGTTGATGCTAAGTTAAAAATGCCTGTGTCCTCTTCCCGTGTGAGAAGATCTGTTTCTTGCCTGGGCATTTGATGTGGTTGCTTTATTGAATTCACTGCTATTCTGTTGGTGAAAACTGCACAGAGAAGCAAACCAGAAAATAACAATATATTCTTTATAAGAGTCTATTGTTTGTCTTGTGGAATATTGCCCACACTTGGGTCATTCCAGCTTTAAAAAAAAAAAAAAAGAAAAGGTTATCGTAAGGATAAAATACAAGTGCAAAGAAAAGTGACAAGGTGGCCTTAAGTGCATAAGAGTTTGAGTCTGAATAGATTAGGAATCTTTAGCTTGGAAAAATGATGATTGAAGGAGGTGATAATATATAATTCAGTGCATCCTAAAGAGGACAGTTATTCATTACACCTCATGTCACAAGTATGAGGAGGCACTCAAGGAACTGATTTGGCAGTAGGTCTAAAACAACTGCAAAGAACTATTCTTTTTAGCCAAAGACAACCTTTTTGTTACAGACAAAAAGTATCAACGAATTCAAAACTTATTAAGCAAATTAATGGCAGGTAGGTCACAGTGACTATGAAAAATAGTAATCTGAACACAATTTCCGTCTCAGGAATTTCCATCTCTGCCGCTTCCCAGAAGATGCAAAGGTGTACTTGGGGAAAAATCTCTGAGTATCTACCTTATTCTTACATTCCTGTCCCTACGCGTTTGCTGTGGTTCAGCTAGAGATGGACTATGCGATTGGGCAGACCTTAGGTCTGACTCATTCTAGTTATTTTTATGTTCTTAATGCAGTCCAGGCCTTAGCATCTAACTGTAAGCATCACTTCAATTGAAAATGTTACCAAACCACAAAAGCTAATGAATGTGAGTTTCTTGCTTTATTGTGGGTTTTTAAATTGTCTTAAATTGTTCCAGAAGCCAACTTAGACTTTATTTACTTCTCTTTCCAGCCTTGCCTTAGGATATAATGTCAATGGGAAAGCAGAACCCATTTATTATGAATGTAGAAGAATTTCAGTAGGTAATTAGAGCAAAATGGCAGCTTTTCTAAATTTTTTTTGGCCGCAGAATGTAGATGAAAGTAAAAGTGATTAACACTTATGATTTCGTATGATTTGTATGAAATTCATCTACTTTGAATGAAAGCTGCAGTAGAAGTATTTTGTTTCTAAAAATAAAAAAGAAAGGTAATTTTGCATGTTTCATTAGCAGAAATAATAGCTTCAGGTAGTTGTCTTTTTAACAGCATAATCGAAAAGAAAATGTTGTTGTATGTAAATCCTAACATCAGGGTGACGGTAATAACCTGAAGAATCCATGTATATGTATGGTTTTTACCGAACGTATATTTAAATGCAAAAACTGTTTGAAGCTAATTCTTTTCCAGAAAAGCTTTTATAGCCATGTTTTCACTCAGATTGGTTTTGTAGAAGAAAAAGAACTTTGTCTTGCTAAAGAAATGTTATTACTTTAAAAGAGACCAAACAAAACTGAAGTAGGTAGATTTACTTCTGTTATCACTCCTTCGTTTCAATGAATTTGCTTCTTCTTGCCCTGAATATGCCCTTTTGCACCAATCTTAAGCTAAACAGTCCAGGGAAATAAGTATTTCTGAAAATTTTTTTCATCAAAACTTTTCTTTTTAACCTTGTTGACGACCCTCCATTCCCCCCCAAAACTATTCGTATTACATTGTTAAAACAGCTCTACCAAATCAAAGTTTGTGGATTGTGTTAGCTGGCCATATTTTCTGCAAATTGAGTGTTATTAGAACAATAATATAATTAACTTTATGATGGATGATGACATTTATGAAAATATTTCCTCAGTAGGCTGTTAGTTGGCAATAGATGATCTGTGATGATTCTGCTATGTGATTATTGTATTTATATCCAGTTTGTTTATTTCCTTTCCTTTAGTGCACGGTTCTTCTCTCTCTTTGGTGTCCAGTACATCTTCTATTTATTCAACAGTGAGTATAATGAAATGAGCAGTCTGGGTTTGTCAATCAAATTATTGAACTGACTGGTCTTGTTGTGCAAGTACCTTTGTCATCCAAAAAGGAGAAAAATGTGCTTTTCATTTCATTGTGTTTTGTATACTAGCTCTTAGAGAAATATTTATGTTCTTTACAAAGTTGTGGAGGTTTAGCAGTACCCTCATTAGACAGCAATTCATTTTTTGGATCGGTGTTTTATAGCTACTCTAAATATGTTTTGCTGCGAAGGACCTCAGTGGATCTGAGGAGATTTGAACTTTAATAATTACAGTACCCCAAATTTTCTGAGTAAAGTCATTCCAGCCTTATGTTAATGATTTGCATAGTTTAAATAGATTTTTTTAATAGCATAGATCTTAATAATTGTAAAGAAGCCATTGCTGTTCATTATGGCAGTAATATTTTCTCAGAAAATATTTCAGTAATATGTTAGGTTATCTGATCCTGAAATAAGATTTACTAGAGTTTGAAAATACAATTTTTTAAAATATGTATTGCATTTGCTTATTTTCTTTTAATAGTCTCATGAAGGATTTCCCATTTAGAACATGTAATACCAAAGACTTACTAAATTAAGACTACACTTACGCTGTAATGGGGAAGTGAAACTGCGACATGTAAACCATACCTTGTGTAGCTTTTATCTAGCTTGTTAGGGTGTTAGCTGCAGTGACCTGGCACCAGACCAGGTTCTAGTGCACACAGGACTGTACAGAAGTATTCAGCAGCTGTTGTTTAACATCAGCAGATGTTTCAACTCTATGGCTTTGCTGCTCAAATAAAGCTGAATCATGTATTTCTGGCAAGTTGCAATCACGCTTTTGGGGTGTTCTTAAAGCACAGCCTTTTTAAAAAGCAAACAGTGGGTAATAATTAACTTCTGAACTATGTGTTAATTGAAGAGAGTCTTTAATTTCAAATTGTTATGCAAGTATGATGCAACCTCAAGCTTACCACACATTCACAGCTGAAACAAGCCTGCATCATACAATAGTACATTGAAGGGCTTGCTCTTGGAAGAGCATGCGTAACTGCTTATGAAGAAAGGTCTGTCAGGCCAACATAGTATATTATTTCACCTACTTATTTAACTATAAGCAGGCTGTATGTGTAACACAGCCTTAAGGCTGTGATAATAAATGATTGAGAATACCACCTTTCATTAACCTTGCCTCAAGCAAGGTATCTAGGAAGCCAAAACCGATATCGTATTGAAGGATGGAAGATGGACCTTTCCTCTGGGCTATCGTTTACAATCACGAGAGCCGCATGGAGCGGTCTACAGTGACTAAGTTCCTGCCTTATGTGCTTGCTGCCCAGCTGGAGTGGCTCTTAATAGTGTGGTTTGATGGGTATAATTTTCATGGTGGCTGGTACTGGACATGTTTACATAAGGATAGTGGTGCATGTAGCTTCCTGCCATGTACTTCTGCTTCGCTGATAACTTTGGTTAGAAGCTAGCCATGGTAACCAGAGTTTCATCACGCAGGCCACAACGGGAAGTCAGTGCATTTCACTTTGCATGCTCAGTTAACTAGCTGTGTCCTCAGTTTTTCGTCACCACAGTGCCTAGGCAGCACCCAATCGGTAGTCAGTTTTTTCGTGGTGTCATTGTGGAATGCAAAAGTGTGGTCTCCATCCTCAGCCAGCTGAGGCTGGGAATAAGGGATTTGCCCAGGACCACACATGCTGTGTGTCGCTACTGGCTCTCCTGAGCCTCGTGCAGTCCCTTATGCACTGAGCCAGGACTTGACCCATCCACAGTTCAAACTCGGAGACTCACTGTTTGGCAGGCTGGGAAGTGAAACCAAAATTCTGCATTCTTCCTGCAGGAAAAATTATTGTGCAAGCAGGCTGCTTGCTTCCTCCTGAGGAGTTAATAAATTCTCGATTGAATATGGATGTTGAAATCCTAAAAAATTAAGTTCTTATTTGAGTTTTACATACAGGAAACTTGACATGCGGGTTATGAATTGTTGCAATGTCCTCATATATTTTCCTGTTTTCATTTTACAGCCTGAAGAGAAGTGCCAGTCAGAGGTAAGAGCACATTGTGTTTGACAGGCATAAATGTTCTGTCAAGACACTCTGCATTTTGTGTCTTGCTATTTTAATTCTCCATATTAAGGTGCAGTAAAGTGATTTTTTTAAATATACAGATTCGCAAGCTACGAAGAGAGTTGGATGCATCCCAAGAAAAAGTGTCAGCTCTGACAACTCAGTTAACTGCCAATGTGAGTACAATTCAGAGAACAAACACTAACAGGGAATGAATTTGATGTACCAATTACCACCCCAGTTTTTCTGAGTGACAAAAAGATTCAAAGTGTTTAACATTCGGTTCGTATTGCCTATGTGTCTAAAAAAAAAAAAAAAATTATATACATTTGGGACCTTTCCAAAAATGAGATCCTCTGTCCTACTGAATTGTCTTATGCATGTATTTAAATACTGAATTGTAATATTTAATTGGCTTTATAAACCATCTTAGGATCTTGAAATAGTCAATCTATTTTTAAAAATGTATGTCTTGTTTTGATTTTTTAGGTGGGATGAGATACAGATGAGGGTTATAACTGGTGAGAATAAAATTGTATAGGAACTTGCATTGAAATGTATTTATAGGAACTTACATTTTCTCATTGCTTAAAAAGTGGGCTAATGGAATGGTTAGGTAACAGTGGCACAAGGGGCACTGAGAACTGATTTACAGTTGTGTTTGATGAATGAACATATCTGATTTTTGCTAGCATGGTCAGTAGTCTTACTTGTTTCCTCTGAGGAATTTGAATTTGATGAAGGAGTAATGTAAGATGCTGAATATTTTAGGTGACACTTGGAGAAAAAGATTTTGAAGCCAGGAGGTGTTGAGGCAACACTATGTATGACCCTGAACAAGTGTATTTGTATTTTCGTCCTGTAGTCGCAGATAGCAGAAATCTGAAAAACAGAAGCTTTCTAGAAAAATAAGCAATCCTAGAATAGATAAGCTACACTTGAATAGTCATCAAATCCAGTCGTCCTTGTATCCTAAGCCTATGGGAAAGGGTAAACATGAGAACACATGCTTACTGAAGAGGACATTTCTGTCCCTCAGCTCTTCAAATAAGTGGAATACTAAACTTGGCACAGTAAAGGACAGGTTTCATCTGAGCAGTGACACCTACCACAGCATGGATTCAAGGGGGAAATGTACTGTAATGTTTGCTGCAGGCATCACAGTGCTTCATCCAGCTTGCAAAACAGACGAGGAAAACCAACAGCAGAGTAAATGTATAAGCCAAATAAAAGTGTTGCGGCTCCGTGTAGCTGTTCTGTGGTTTTCCTAAGAGGAGGAAGAAATCTTTCAAAAATTAAATTCTTGTTTGCACTGCAACTGTGTGAGGATTGGGTGCATTAGTTGCTTTCTATCCAGATGCTTCTTTCACGTGTGAGCTTTATTCTCTTTTAAATACAGACCAAATTCTCCTGCATTTGTGTGAAGGGCAAGAGCTAGGGTTAATTAACAATATGAGAAAAAATAAAGAACTTTGTCAGCTGTTCAGCTCATGTAACTCTGGCTCAGTTTTGCTGAATCCTTCTTTATGCAGTGTTTGGATTCAGTAAGCTGTTATTCAACACAGGAATTAGTAGCCAGTCTTAAAGAGCAGTAAGTAGCACATGCTTAGGGAAAG